ACTGCTAGCTAGCTTCATAAAGGAGGATACGTCCAGGGAGGATGGGTTTGCGGTTTGGTGAGGCAAAGGAGAGAGGGGTGAGGAGGAAAACTGTGCTCTTGGTATGACGTGAGACCTAAACTGCAACATTCCACGCAGCGCCTGCTCCGCTGCCATCCTATCACACAGCACCCAGCACACCTGAGGTGTAGGGGGCGTGTCAACATCTGGGCGGTATGTGTGGGGGGGGGTGTCTGTCTGTCCGCGGACCGCTCAAGCCGAGGCTCAAGCTAGCTTCTTCTGTGTCTTCATCGAGCGAGCTTGACCTTTCACGATGCAGAATCGGAGGAGCTAGACGATAATGATCCCACACAACTGGCTGGTGCACAAGGTAAGTGCTTAGTGGGTGGGTCTCGTAACAAGGAATTACAACGAAACAAGCTAGCTAGCTAGGTAGCTATAATACAAGCTTGTTTTGCCGTCCATATTGTCCAGCAGCTACGCTAATGACTACACTGGAAACCCAACTGAAACGCTATACCAGGAGAGCCAAGCCAACTGGAGAGGTCCTAGGGAGTGGGACTTTACGGCTCAGTGATCGAACTAACTTCAGTGGGGGAGACTGTGGCTGGGAAGGTGTTCAGAGTGTCTGCCACTTCGCAGCTTCAGGCATTAGCAACCAAAGTGTGCGGAGAGGTGATCACAATGCTGCAGCTCAGCCATCCAAACATTGTCCAGTGTAAAGGAGTGGCTTTACTGCCAGACAAGTCACCACTGCCTGTTCTTCTGATGGAGCGACTGAAGACAAGTCTTCATGCCTACCTCCTATGCCCAAACAACTCCAATCTTCCAGTGAAGAGAAAAGTGTCCTTTTTACTAGACATAGCTAAAGGACTAGACTATCTTCACAGCCGCACACCTGCCATCATCCATCGAGACTTGACTGCCACCAACGTCCTGCTCACCTCCCAGCTCACGGCAAAGATAACCGACTTCGGGAACTCCCGTTTCCTGGACCTTGACCCCAGAACAACATCCAGAACATTTACCACAGTGCACGGAACTCTGGAGTACATGCCCCCCGAGCTCCAGGGGGTGACTGCACAAGGAGTGAGCAAGAAGTTCTACCCCAGTCTGGATGTCTTCTCCTTCGGGCACCTCTCTCTCTTCACTGTCACCCAGACTCAAGTAACCCTCCTCCCTCCCACCTCCACTGACCCTGAAACTGGTACGTAAGACAACTGATCCCTATTTCACACTATTATGCAATGTTTCAACTTCACAGGTCAGTGAAAGGGCTGTCAGCATTGGAGAGACGTGAGGAGTTTGTGACGAAAGCCCAGCAACTCTTGCCAGAGAATCCCGATTTACTGCAACTTATTCAACAGTGCCTCCACAATCTGCCAGGAAAGAGGCCTTTAACCAGAGAATTAGTAGAAAAACTGAGCAGCATGACTGCTGTTGGTAGGTGCTACCATTGTAACTGTCTCTACCCTTAATTCCCCCTCTCTAACTGCCTCTACCCTTTATTTCCACTTATTTCCCCTCTCTATCAATCCGGTGCAGTCATTCCTGCTGGCCAAGACAGGGGAAGAGTTGAGAGAGATTCTGCCTCCACTCAGGGAAGAGGCATTGGAGAAGCTGCAGGTACTGTATATAGTCCTTAGATACTCCTGTGAGTGAAGTTTTCTTATTTCTTTATCTCCAGTAGTAGACACCAGACCTCCTGCACAGTCACCTATACAGCCTTCTATCCCTGAGGGTATATATAACCACTGCTTACAACTTTGCCTTAAAAATTGTTCCATGTCCTAACAGGAGTACCAGATGGGGGGTTGGACAGAGTAATAAGTGACAGAGACGTGGCAGTAATAGCCAGAGACCATGTCACTCACTGGGAAAACCTGGCACCTTTCCTGGGAGTAACTAGAACCAAGGAACAGGAGATAGCTATGTCCTACCCGGGAGACTATGGGAAACAGAAACGAGAGTGTCTGTATGTGTGGAAGGAGATGGAGGGAGAAAGGGCCACGTACCGAGCCTTCATTTCAGCAGCTGAGGAGGCAGGAAACCAGCAGTTGGCACACTCTGTGAGGGACCTCTACAGTCATACCACAGGAACAGTCGAAAGAGACTCAGATATTGTCAAAGATGAAGGTGAGTTTCCATAAAAACTATATATAGCTAGTGTACAATAATAGTGTTTCAGAAGAACTGGAGACTGTACCAGTCCTTCCAACTGAAACACGGACATTGACGGCCATAATCAGCACCAGCTTAGCTCAACCAGGTTTAGGGCACTGCGGAGTGATTTTAAGTAACTCCTGTATATTCTTAGTCGCTCTCATGCAACATGTAGCTATCAAGAGCAGAGTTGCGCAATGTGTGTTGTGGATGCTAGATTAGATTATGGCTAGACTGAGCTGAGAACATGGGTTTTTCATACTGATTAATGTTTACTTTACCTTTTCACACACACATTCTATATAGTGACACAGGTGTTGGATGTATCAGAGAGAGATACCTCTCAAGACCAACAGTTCTCCAAAGAAAAAGATGTGCCAGCAGTATCTCTCGGCCATCCACAGGGCGCACTCGTTCATCAAAACAGAGACGTAAAGCATCAAGCATCATCCCTGTGGAGAGATGGTAGGTGGAGAGATGGTAGGTGGAGAGATGGTAGGTGGAGAGATGGTAGGTGGAGAGATGGTAGGTACAACAATGTGTTTTACAGCACAAATAATTATATCACTTGTTTCCCAACTATGTAGGTATCGAGGCCAGAACAATTGGAAGTAAACGAGACAGTCACTCCAATGGATACAGCAGGTATAATTATGGAGATACAATTCCAGAGTATCAAATTCAGTATAGAATTTTCCTCAGCTTCCCCACCACGAGCTCACCAGAACGTAGTTAGTAGCACAGAGCTACATGTGGCTCACATCTCGACAGACACAAATTGCTTGATATGTGATGAGGATACAGATATATCTTCTGATCTCTCTCCACGTCAGACTGTGTGGCTTGGTGGACCAGGTAACCCAGTGTGTTTTGTATATGTGAAGATTCTTAACTATCGTGTTTGCAGGACCAGAGGTACCACAACCCCAACTTGTTCTTCGGGATCCTACCCAAAAAGCAGACATTGGTCAGTTCAATCTCCATTTTCCCCTGTCACCAAAACCTGACAGGATACTTTCATAACTCGTATTGAAAGCAGTCCTTTGTTCCTCTTATACTAAACCTAAACCTAAAACTGTTCTCTTATGGGTGAAGTCAGTCTGTCATCCATTCCAGATGAAACATCAGAGAGGCAGGAGTCTGACACAATAAGTAATACAAAGAGCAGTGGCAAAGTTTCAGGTGCCACTAACATTAATTTTGATCCTGCATTTTTATCACTCGATATTTGCAGTGTATTGTAGCCAGGATACACCTTTGTGTCATTGCAGGAAATGTTGTAATGGGAGACCTGATGAAGCTATCAACTTCTAAAGGGCGACGCATAAGGGTCTTGGAAAGAAGTTCAATGAAATACCGAGACATTGGAACCATCCTTCTGAAAGATGACACTGGGGCAATAGTCACGAGTATACAACAAACTGCACTAGGTAATCCAGTTGAGGCTGTCAGGATGATATATGAAAGATGGATACAGGAAAGGAGAACACTCATGCAGAACTGTGGCCAAGTGTTTCGAGAGATGTTCAGCTGAACCCTCTAGCCAGGGATATTGAGCACAACTTGGGATTTTCCCCGTCACCAGGTACATGATTACAGTGATAAGGTGTATGCACATGCCAAAACCATGCCCATCTAGCCACTTCTCTTCTTCATTCCAGCTCGGTCACAAGCTCACCCTTCTCACCAGATCATTGAAAAGGCAGACGAAACAGTCAGTGAGGATGATACAAGTATGTCTTCACATCCTCAAGAAGATTGTTTTTAGGTATTCAAGTATAATTATACTGCTGTTTTCAGAGAGGGGAGCACAAGCTTCGAGATCATCAGGTTTAAAAAGATCTGCCGGCAGTGACACCGAGTCCCCTCATCAACCGGAAACACAAATAGCACAAGTCAGGTATGTGACATAATACAATACGCTGCATCTTACGCAGTTTCGCAGACGTACACTGTCTATGTGACAGGATATCGCCTTGCAAGATGTGCGTCACATACAGTATACAAACCATCTGTTGTCTGTATAGTTGTCGTGTGTGTCTGTCTGTCAGGCCGTTCCACGACATCTCACTTTACGAGCCATTAATCGCTCCACAAACAACACCACGTATTCAGCATAAAGGTCGAAAAGTATGTAGTATTTTCCCTGAAACTGCTGCGTTTGAGAGTTATGGCATGAATGCGCAGTGTGCCGAGGGTTTGGTGATTTTCAATTTATCCTGTAGTTTCTCCTGAAGAAATATTCCCAGTCATCAGAGGAGCTGACATCATAGCTAAGACAAAGATAGAAATCAATCCAGACCAGCCACTGGACTTCCACTGGGAGGGTCATGGGTTCAAGGTTCACGTACCAGCTGGTGCAATCATCAGTCGAGAGGGAGGACCAGTGACACTGTGTATCCAGGCAAGCCTCATTGGAGACTATGACTTCCCAGATGATGGTGTCCTCGTCAGTGGAATCTACTGGCTCTCCCTACACCCTCATGTGAAGAAGTTTGACAAGGAAGTCACCATTAGCCTCAAGCATTGTGTCTCTGTTGGTGGTGATACATCAGCACTCTCCTTCATTACTGCAGAATGTACAAAATATAAACAGCATCACACGTTTTCAAGCTGCTGCCAAGAGGATCCTTCATTTCTAGAAAGAGCACAATTGAAGTCACCAAATTTTCTGGATTTGGCATATTGCATCTGAAATTAATCAACTTGTTTTTTGAACTGTACACATTTAGGGTGTACTACATCGCCAAGCAGCCCAATGAATATGAGGTACACATTACTGTGGCAAAAGACATTCCCCTGTTACAGAAGGTAATTACTATTAATATAATATTTTGAGCACTTAGGATAATCCTTCTGTTCTACAGAAAATAGAAGATCATTATGGAAAAAATGAAAAAGGTCTTACTGTTACTGCAAAAATTATACAGGAAAGTGTTTCAATATCATCAGAAGTTCTAGGAAGCCAAGATGGCTGGGATTTGTTCTTTTTGAAACCTAATGAGGTAAGTAAGCTTCCATCACATGCAGATACGTCCATACTTCTTTCATGTAGATACGAAAGCAACTGTGGACAGTTATTTGCCTGGAAGAGGAATTCGATACTTTGCAATTGAAGTGAAATTAAGGGATTCTAGAAACTGCAAGCAATTGAGGAGAGAAATTCGTTTTGATGGAGTTGAGGATAGACCTCCCATTACGATTACCAGGGATCCAGAATATTTTGGTTTGTTCCTAGCCAGTCTGAATAACTAATCGCAAAAAATAGGCCACTCCCTGAGTTATTTTTTTGCCAGCAGAGCACCATGTTTTGATGAATGCGTAGGGTCCAATAGTTTTGCTAATGTAACACAGTATTACTCATACAGCACATTTTTCTATATGCGGTATATGGTACGAACGGCTGCCAAACGAGACTTTCAGGCCCAGCGAAGGGAGAGTAGTAGGTGTATTGGTTCAGGTGGAGGTTGGCTAGCACAGGTCTGTGATGGCTAACGGAGGGCCTCATTACCACTGGCTTACCTCGAATGCATTCCACCTGTCCGCGTACTGTGGGGGCAATGGAAGTTACCACGGAGGGTGAGTGTCGATTCTCGCTATGCCTAAAACGCTATTGAACCCGTGTCAGACTCAGATAGTTAGCTAGAGACCACGAAACGAGTAAAAAACTGCTTATAACCTTACCTAGATTTTGTTTCATGTCCTAAATGGACCCTTAATTCCCACTTATTTCCCTCTCTCTACCCTTTATTCCACTTATTTCCCCCTCTCTATCAATCCGGTGCAGTCATTCCTGCTGGTGGCCAGGACAGTGGAAGAGTCGAGAGAGATTTTGCCTCCACTCAGGGAAGAGGCATTGGAGAAGCTGCAGGTACTGTATATAGTCCTTAGATACTCCTGTGAGTGAAGTTTTCTTATTTCTTTATCTCCAGTAGTAGACACCAGACCTCCTGCACAGTCACGTATACAGCCTTCTATCCCTGAGGGTATATAATATAACCACTGCTTATAACTTTGCCTTAAAAATATGTCCTAACAGGAGCACCAGATGGAGGGTTGGACAGAGTAATAAGTGAAAGAGACCTGGCAGTAATAGCCAGAGACCACGTCACTCACTGGGGAAGCCTGGCACCTTTCCTGGGACTAACTAGAGCCCAGGAACAGGAGATAGCTATGTCCTACCCGGGAGACTATGGGAAACAGAAACGAGAGTGTCTGTATGTGTGGAAGGAGAAGGAGGGAGAAAGGGCCATGTACCGATCCTTCATTTCAGCAGCTGAGGAGGCAGGAAACCAGCAGTTGGCACACTCTGTGAGGGACCTCTACAGTCATACCACAGGAACAGTCGAAAGAGACTCAGATGTTGTTGAGGATGAAGGTGAGCTTCCATTGAAAAAAACTGTAGCTAGTGTACATCATGGTGTGTTTCAGAACTGGAGACACTGCCAGTTCCTCCAACAGACACACGGACTCTCCCTGTGGGCACTAACGGTACACACAGCATGGAACCTTTAATCTTTAACATGTTTGTTCCTTCTCTCCCTTTAGCTAACCCCTCCCCTTCTATTGAAGCAATGCAGGAGCAGTCAAATGGAGGTATTGCTCTGGATACTAGCAGATTTATGTCACAGTTGTCCCTTTCTGCAGATTCTATGAGTCAAAGAAATGCCAGTTCAACAAGAAATGTTCCAGTAGTGACACAGACTTTAGGTATGTAGTGCTGTATGCCTCACTTCATTAGTCCACAGGAATTGATGACTTATTACCCTCGGCGCGTATGCGCAGCGAGGGTACGGTAGTTGGGTCTGTGTGTCTGTCTGTCTGTTACTCAACATCTCACTTCTCCAATGTTCGTTCGTCTCACAAACGATACGACTTACTTAACTTAATTTCTGACCTTCATTGCCCGTTAAGTAAGTTATATCGTTTGTGAGACGGACAAACATTGGAGAAGTGAGATGTTGAGTAACAGACAGACAGACAGACACACAGATTCATTAATGTGCATTCATTCATTAACCCTCAGTGCACATGTGTAGCGAGGGTTACGGTACAATTTTTCTATCGTCATATTGACCTGACTGCAGGAGAGGATAATCTGGTGGAGATAACAGACCAGCTGATGGATCTGGACCAGTCTGATGTCTACAACCTGGGTCTGGTCCTGGGACTGGCTCATCGCCGTGTGGTGGATCTGAGAGAAAACAGCAGATCCAACCAGGCCTTCCTGGATGCAGTGGTCCTACACTGGCTGCAGAGAGACGACCATGTGAAGGAGGTGTCCTGGGCAGCTCTTGTTAAGGCTCTTCGCCACCAGAGACTGGGACACACTGGAATTGCCACCTCCATTGCTGAGAAATATGGTACACAATTATGTCCCTTAATCGTTTCTATATATTATACAATCACAACAGAGGGTATAGTCATTTTACAGAAAGGTGCATGCAAGCCATTTCCACCATTCAACATTGCCTCATTTGGGTGGGAGACTGGTGGAAGCTTGTAAATTGGTGTTGCAAATATGCCTACAGAATATCGGCTTGGGTAGGAAGGTAGGTATTCTTGGGGACTTTACTGTAGTTGGTGGGTCCTCTGATTTTTTTACGGTTGACACCTTTTTGTATATCAACAGGATTTTGATGCTACCGCTGCCACCTTTACAAAGAACATTGCTCTTTATCACTGTTTTAAAATGCTACTGTGTTTTATTTATTTTACTGCCAGTCAGGTTTGTATTCATACTTACACCAACTTCTAAACTGAAATACCTTGAATCTTCAATGTTCCATTCTTACTTTCCACTGTGCCACTCAATCTCAATACCACACACTGGAATCTAGTTCCATTGTACTGGGCTTTGGCCAGGATGGTCAGAATCTCCACTGTCATACCCGCACCAGTGTTGGTGTCTGTCAAGATATCAGCACGTATCTCAGGTGAACTCTGTTCCAATTGTTCCAGGAGTATTCCATTGACCACCCAACCAGAGGCTCCACCTCTTGTCTCACATGTAAAAACTACTGACTGGTGTAGAAATACCGTCTTGTTCTCAGGATCTTGGGTTATTTCTAGGGTGTGCAGGGAGATAAGACAGCTAGCTCTCGTGTGGGTGTCAGGAGTGAAGAGTGCGACTCATTACCTTGAGCAACTAAAGGAACAGAGAAACTGATGAGCAGCACTGCGACAGCACTTAGTGGCGAATTCATTGCAGTGGTGGATACACAAGTTGTTGCCATATCCATAGGTATAGGTGGTGTATTATTTTCCCAGAGTTACTGTCTTGCTCTCTGTGGTAGAGCACAGCCGTAGCGGCAAGGAGGGCTCTCGGGGTAGGTAGCGAAAATATCTTGGGAGTTCTCCCTTTTTTCTGAGGAGCTGGCTCCTTTTTTATACAAAAGAAAAATGGGTGGAGGAAACAGGAAAGGTGGGAGGTGGGAAGAGGAAAAGTGGGTCCAAGACTACGGAAGCCCAGAAGGGCCATTCTATACTTCCGTTCTACGCGAACTTCCATCCTTCCATCTTTCCATCATTCTATTCTTCTATCCTTCTATTCTTCTATTCTTCCATACTGCTGTTTATGCCTACGCATGCACATTCAATAGCTCTTGCGGCATAATGAACTTTGAACCTGTGCAATGGCGACCATCGTAGGACCTATTTTCCTCGCCTAATTCTCGTGACAATCTAATAAAGTGGTACTTTTTCGAAGGATACCAGTATCGTGCCATAGTGTGCTTTCTTTTCTTTGTTCATGGGGTACGGATATCTCTTCGTCAGCTTAAGAGAGAGTTACAAAAATTGAACCTACGTCGACGAGTTCAGCCAAGTGCTAATAGCATCAGAGGAACCGGACCCTCCTGCATCCCTTGAGTTTCTGCAGGCAGTGAATGAACTGATGGTACACCGTGGTCTACTCTTTCCTGACTCTATAAGAGATGCTATGTTGCTGTATGCGGAGCTTGTTTCTCTACTTGACGATTATTGATATTTTGACTCACAATTATTATAACCATTATGATTTAATGATGAACCCTTGATGGGACACTTGACAATGACTATGTTCAGTGGTTATTGGATAAGGTTCAAAGCTCAGAACCTAGTTCTTCAAAGAGTCTTTGAAGAACTAGGTTTGCTGGTGGTCGACTTGACATCCCAGCAAAGCAGGTGTTGCATAGCTCTTGTATCTGTGGTGGGAGGTGGTTTGTCTGAGGGGTTTCGTGGCACACAGTCACTTTATATAATATCTGAAATGGTGCCAGTGCTGGCCATACTGGAGCCTCCCCAAAGAGCACAAGAAGAACAGCACCAAGTGCACACCTCTGCAAAGTATATACCCAGGAAATAATTGACACACTTACCAAAAACACAAGGCTCTCCCCCGCAATTAGTTGTGTATACAAGGGGGGCGAACTTTGCAAAACGAGCTATCCACAGCTTCACAAGGAAACCCCCAAGCAAAAACACAATTTTATGCAGGGCAACATGCTTCTTCAAGTGGGTACCTAAAGATAATTGCAGTTGTGTTTCTCCTGCAGCCACGTGGCTACACAACAGCCTTGGTTGGGGATGGTAGTAGTGCCTACAGACATATATATATAAATGAAGACAGGACGGACCCTGGAAAATATATTGTACTACTGCACAGCATGGATTTTTATGATACTCTAACCTTGGTTCGTGGCTCCAGCTGCAGAGCTGGAGGACGAGGACGAGGAGCCCGCAAATACGCGGTCAGTGGGTCCGGTTGCAGAGCTAGAGGACAAAGACTCCGCAGAATTATTATCGCCTGCAAACGCTGAACGATCCATGACCGCGCACTCGAGTACTCAACATGGCAAATTGACATACACAATACTGCGCATGCGCAAATGAAAACAAATCACTGAAGTCCCGCAGTATGGAAGGATAGAAGGATAGAAGGATGGAAAGATGGAAGGATGGAAGTTCGCGTAGAACGGAAGTATAGAATGATGGAAAGATGGAAGGATGGAAGTTCGCGTAGAACGGAAGTATGGGCTTCCGTACAAGACAGCAGGTGAGGATTAGGTGGTGGTGTTGTGTAGAGGAAGATGTTAAGTGGGCATAGGTATGTGGCCCTTTGGTGAGGTATATACAATAGAGTGGGAGTAGGAAGGAGTGCTAAAGGAACTACAAGGGGTGAGGACTTTAATCTACTAAAGTGCATTCTCACTCTAAATGTGAATACCAAACACTGGAATCTAGTTCCATTGTACTGGGCTTTGGCCAGGATGGTCAGAGTCTCCACTGTCATAGTGAAGTTCGTGCGTACCTTGAGCAACTAAAGGAACAGAGAAACTGATGAGCAACACTGCTACAGCAATGGCGAATTCATTGCAGAGTGGTGGATGCACTCGGCATGGCACGTCGAATCGCATGCGCACACTTCCTTCCTCGCGTTAATTAGACCAGATATCAAACCCGGAAATAAAGCCGGAAACATATCGAAAACGGAGCTTGAGAATATGTAGCAACTGCTGTGTTTCAAAACGCGTGTTTTACAAGTTATTATTTTTATTACAACAAAGATATGCTTTCTTACAACAGAGATATGCTAGAACACGCCAACAGAGTCAGGCTCATGTGGTTCCGAGATCATTGGTGGTATATAAGAACACTATATATAATAATGGACAGCATCAGTGGACTGAACATTATGAGTTTCATAAGCCACATTATGAGCAGTGTTGATGGGAGTTGTGGTCTCATAGGCCACATTGCCAGTAGTGGGGATGGTAGTAGTGTGAGACGGCTCAGTTGGAATGGAGGAGGTGGTGGTCAGGGGAAGAACTACCTCATCATACACTGCCACTGGTGCTGGAGGAGAGTTCACATAACACACAGTCACACACCACACCCATCCCTATATACCAGCAGATCGCTTCTTCCTGTGTGTGTGGCACTGTCTGACTACCACCAGCAGCACCAACACTGCTGTGAGACATATCATAACACCTGCTAGTGCTGTACCTGTGTGTGTGGTGTGTGTGTGTGTGTGAGAGAGAGAGAGAGAGATAGTGAGTGAGTGCCTCTAGAAAAATAATACACCACCTACCTATAGATATGGCAACAACTTGCGTCTCCATTGTCCCCTCCTCATCTGCATGAGTTTCATTTATTTGCATACCAAAACCACACTTGGAAACATTTCCATAGATAAATGGACTGCTCTCTCCCTGGCCAGCTCCATTCAGAGGGATGACAGAGAAGTTGTACACATGACAAGGACTGAGGTAGTCAGGAGTGAAGGTGTAGTGTGTCTCAGTGATATTGATACAGTCAGTACAGAGGATGGCTGTTGGGTTGTCTCATCTGTCACATTGTAGATGAGGACAGAGTACCAGATATCAGGATCAACACCAGTCACATCCAGAGAGAATGGAGCACTCCACGAGATGGTCACTGAGCTGGCATTGCTGGTGGCTCTCAAATTACCTACTGCTGACAGGATACCTGAAATGTTGTTCCTTTTAGTTAATTTCAACTTCTAAACTGAAAATACCTTGAATATTCAATGTTGCACTCTCACTCTCCGCTGAGCCACTCAATGTAAATACCAAACACTGGAATCTAGTTCCATTGTACTGGGCTTTGGCCAGGATGGTCAGAGTCTCCACTGTCATACCCGCACTAATGTTTGCTACTGTCGAGATATCAGCATGTAGCTCTGGTGAACTCTGTTCCAATTCTTCCTGGAGCGTTCCATTGACCACCCAACCAGAGAGGCCACCTCTAGTCTCACATGTAAAAACTGCTGACTGGTGTAGAAATACCGTCTTGTTCTCAGGATCTTGGATTATTTCTATGGTGTGCAGTGAAATAAGACAGCTAGCTCTCGTCAGGAGTGAATGAGTGCGGCTCCCGCTTACCTTGAGCAACGAATGGAACAGGGAAACAGATGAGTAACACTGCTACAGCACTTAGTGACGAACTCATCGCTCAGCTCTCTCTCACCGAAAACGCGAATGGATCTACGCATGCGCACCTCCCCCCGCCCGGCCCCAACTCTATTAACACTTGATCGCGATCGCGCGCAGGCTGCAAAACGAACAGGCAATGGATGGTATTTGCAGGGTATATATAGTGTTATAGACCTCAGAAATAAGTAGCTCTTGTGTTTGATGAATAATGACACACTAAAATATTGAAAAATATTTGTCCAAGACTATATTCTGTGCCTATTTACACGGATTAAAAATTATAGATTTCAGGTGGACTGAATTTTATGAGTTTCATAAGCCACATTATGAGCAGTGTTGATGGGAGTTGTGGTCTCATAGGCCACATTGCCAGTAGTGGGGATGGTAGTAGTGTGAGACGGCTCAGTTGGAATGGAGGAGGTGGTGGTCAGGGGAAGAACTACCTCATCATACACTGCCACTGGCACTGGAGGAGAGTTCACATAACACACAGTCACACACCACCCCCACCCCCATACCTGCAGATCGCTTCCTGTGGGTGTGGCACTGTCTGACTACCACCATTAGTACCACCACTGCTGTGAGACATATCATAACAGCCGTACCTGTGTGAGAAAAAGAGTATAATTCTGGGAAAATAATACACCACATACCTATGGATATGGCAACAACTTGCGTCTCCATTATCCTTTCCTCATCTGCAGTTTTACAATGTTTGTTTACCAAAACGTGTCCTAGTAAATGGGTATTGTGCACCTAGGTGCAAAACATACCTGAAATAGTTACTTCAGTCTGTGGTGTTGTGGTACTAGTTCTGACAGCAATTGGTCTTTCTTCTAAATCAAAACTGCTCTTTCCAAAGACTGCGAATGTGTATTGATCTCCATCAACAGTCAGAGTCACAGGGAAGACAATGTTCTTAGGATATTCCTCCACCACTAGTGTCTTGTTACCATACTCTCGATAGACCAGGACACATGAGGCTCCATCTATACCTTCTTTGAACTTACAATTCACCTTCACTGTCACCCCATTCACGTAAACACTGCCATTGTTAAGAAATTGAGATTCTGCATCAGCGATGGGACCTGCAATAGATATTGGAATAAAGCCAAATGTAAACTAATCAGCAGACACTCACCATTCCCAAGAACAGTGACATTAGCGTTCTGTTCAACAGCAGGATGGCTGTTAGGCAGTCCCGTCTTCCTCAAGGTCATACACTAACATATGGTACGTTGAAGATAAAATGTTATGAATAGTACTCTGTACATAAGTGCTGGAGTCATCAGGCCGTAGTAGGGCTCTGAATACATCAGGATTTCCATATTCACCCTGTAAAACTACGAAACACCCTTTAGCCATTGTGTTTTCAATGAACTCTCCAGTGAAAGTGATCTCATTATTGGTACCCTTGGTGGTGTCAGCGGCAGCACTCTGGACATCATATGTAGCTGTAGACACATAACTATATCCAATCATTGCCCTTGGCACAATAGATAACAGCATAGCTATTATCCAGCATGATTGAAATGATTTCTAATTATAATTGGGTATGCATATGGATTTTTCATGGCATAACAAGGACTGTTCAATGACCATACAAACGTAAGCAGCATACGAGTGTTTCATGTGAATACAGAAAACTGTGGACCTACTATGTACATGTAGTATTGGGCACAAAAGACCCACCCATTCTGACATTTCCACATAAGGTTAGTAAGGCAAATCTACTGCTGTTTGTCATAAATACAAAATATTACTGAAATTGATCCACAGGAGGGCTACTCCACTAGAAAGGGACACCAGGAATGAATATCTATTGTCAGCACGGAGTTGGTAGGTGACATCTGGTCCTTCTGGTGATAGAGGCAATTCAATGACAAGATCATCATCCACTACATCAGGAGTGACTCTCCAGCTACTACAAAGCTCACCGGTGGGATTACTCTATCACAAAAACAACAGACATTGAAACATTAGTATTGTGTATTGTACTTAACTAACCATAAACGTAACTTTGGTCTTCTCCATAGAGATAGCTCGGATGTGAGTCTTTATAAGTGCTGACACTAGAAAGAGAAATGTTACAGAGTTAGTTGTCTGTTCATGCGAGAATGGCAGCGGATATGCAATATAATTATGCCACAAGTCACATCAGCACTCGGTCTGCACAAGTACTGGTGACATTCTGTGCCATTTTTTGCACAAATTGCAAACATGGCATATCAAAGTATCCAGCCAAGCATGGAAAGTGCTCAAACAGGTGCAGTACTGGTATGGGGCATTTGCACACACCCACACGTGATGTTGCTATATACCAGCCATCAATACTGATGGACATTCTGTTGTGTGCTATTTATTTGAGAGAATAGGATGTGCAAAAGTGCGGGTATGCAGAAATTCAAAAACGCAGGCACACTACTGAAAAACAATGCCACCTACATGCAGCATTAGGACATAAAATGAATTTACAGAAGCAAAAATAATTCCCATTATAACATGTACTCACACTTCAAAACATATCCAGAGATAAAGGGACTGCTCTCTCCCTGGCCAGCTCCATTCAGAGGGATGACAGAGAAGTTGTACACATGACAAGGACTGAGGTAGTCAGGAGTGAAGGTGTAGTGTGTCTCAGTGATATTGATACAGTCAGTACAGAGGATGGCTGTTGGGTTGTTCTCATCTGTCACATTGTAGATGAGGACAGAGTACCAGATATCAGGATCAACACCAGTCACATCCAGAGAGAATGGAGCACTCCACGAGATGGTCACTGAGCCGGCATTGTTGGTGACTATCAACTCACCTACTGCTGACAGTGGACCTGAAATAATGGCTAACAATTTCCTGACTTATAATACACTTTTCAGCTAATACCTTGAATGGTCAATGTGGCGTTGTCACTCTCCACAAAGGGGCCACCAAATGTTATAGACAGACACTGAACTCTAGTTCCATTGTACTGGGGTCTAGCTGGGATGGTCAGAGTCTCCACTGTAGTACCTTCAGGAGTGGATATCTCTGAGACAACCAGATCAATACGTATGTCAGGCGGAAATGTTTCTCGCTGTGTTCCATTGACTCTCCACAGAGTGGTGCCACCTCTTGTCTCACATGTAAAGACCGCTGATTTGTTTAGAAAGACGGTTGTACTCTCAGGAGCATGGAGAATCTCTGGTGCAGAGAGAGAGAGATGGCAGAATTTGTTGGGTGTCAAGAGTGAATGAGTGCCGCTCGAGCTTACCTTGAGCAACGAGGGGAATAGAAGAACTGATGAGCAACACTGCTACAGCACTTAGTGACGACCTCATCGCTCTGACCTCGGCGCCCAGAGGAAGATGGATCTACGCATGCGCACCTCCTCCACCGCGTGGACCGAATATATAACCGGAAATCAAGCCAGAAACAAAAAAAACGAACCGGCAAACGAATGGTATTGCAGGGTAAACCACTGAATTGCTGAGTAGATATTTTTCTATTTCGGAGCTTGAAAAGGTGTATATACTGCTGTGCTTTCAAAAGCACAAGATTACAAGTCCATTTTCTTACAACAGAACACGCCAACAGAGTCTGACTTATCTGGTTCCAAGATCATTGTCGATGACTCTATAGCTAATACTGGTGGTGGTATACAAGAACACTATAAAAATAGACAACATCAGTTGGACTGAATTTTATGAGTTTCATAAGCCACATTATGAGCAGTGTTGATGGGAGTTGTGGTCTCATAGGCCACATTGCCAGTAGTGGGGATGGTAGTAGTGTGAGACGGCTCAGTCGGAATGGAGGAGGTGGTGGTCAGGGGAAGAACTACCTCATCATACACTGCCACTGGTACTGGAGGAGAGTTCACACGACACACAGTCACACACCACACCTACCCCCATACCTGCAGATCGCTTCTTCCTGTGTGTGTGGCACTGTCTGACTACCACCAGTAGCACCAACACTGCTGTGACACATATCATAACACCTGCTAGTGCCGTACCTATGAGAGAAAGACAGTAACTCTGGGAAAATAATACACCACCTACCTATGGATATGGCAACAACTTGTGTATCCATTATCCTTTCCTCATCTGCAAAATACAATGTTCGTTAACCAAAACTTGCCCTAGTAAATGCTATTGTGCACATAGGTGCAAAACATACCTGAAGTGGCTACTTCAGTCTGTGGTGTTGTGGTTGTCCTAGTGACGTGTACATTTCTTGCTAGAATCGGTCTTTCATCTAAATCAAAACTGCTCTTTCCAAAGACTGCGAATGTGTATTGATCTCCATCAACAGTCAGAGTCACAGGGAAGACAGTGTTCTGAGGATATTCCTCCACCACTAGTGTCTTGTTACCATACTCTCGATAGACCAGGACACATGAGGCTCCCTCTATACCTTCTTTGAACTCACACCTTATCTGAACCACTGAGTCTTTGACGACTAAACTCACATTATTCAAAACTTTAGATGCTACATTTGGGTCTGCGTCTGTAAGATAATGTTGTAGCTTATTAATTTTCAATTGGCAATAGACTCACCGTTCCTATTAACAGTAATGACGTTGTTTGGTTCATATGCTGGGCTCCTATTAGGGAGTCCATCTTCCTCCAGGTCATAGAAAAGGGCTCTGTATGTTGATGATGGTGTGTCACTGATGGTGCTAGTCAGCAGGGTGGTGTTAGGTCCAGGTCTTAGCAAGGCTCTGAACACATCAGCAGTGGACTCATTCCCAGACTGCAGCACCACAAAACATCCTCTGGCTGTCGTGTTTTTGAGGAACTCTGCAGTCACAATGATCTCACCATCATCTCTGACACTAGTAACTGTGGCACTCTGCACATCATGTGTAGCTGTAGAAGAAACACATTATTACGCTACCACCTCCAGGGTGAAAATTAAAATTATTTACTGATAGGAATGGGTGAGGTAGAAACTTCAAATGAATATTCTCCATCAGAACAGAGGTCAAAGGTAAGTTCTTCTAAAGATCGAGACACAGCAATGATGCAACCATCTCCTTGTTTAGGAGTCATTCTGTAGCTGCAAATGCATCCCTATAAAAAGAGCAGTATCATGTTTGTTACAAATGGGATATTGTGTGGTTTCTTTACTAATAAAGGCCAACATGCATGAGGCAACTTGGTTGCTTTGCAAACTTCACAGGTATTGGTATGATAGGCCTATGTAGGCAACATGTTGGCAGAAATAGATCAAAGTTGACCTCGTGTATGTTGACATTGACTCAATCCTTCCTCCTCTGTTCAGTGTTGATGTCTATTTTTGTTCCATATAGCTACATTCCTACTATTTTCCTGCTCACCCTAACACACAGACTGAAAACATTGAAACTCACCAATATCTGAAATGTAACTCTGCTTACACTTCTAGAGACAGCTTCAATGCAAGGCTCTTTAACTGCAGAATAAAGTATAGTAAGTAGCTGTAGTTTGTGAAAAGTCTACCATTATGCAAGCACACTGATCCTAAGCTATGTCATAACATGCAAGGTGCAACTGTGCATACCAAAACCACACTTCAAAACATATCCAGAGATAAAGGGACTGCTCTCTCCCTGGCCAGCTCCATTCAGAGGGATGACAGAGAAGTTGTACACATGACAAGGACTGAGGTAGTCAGGAGTGAAGGTGTAGTGTGTCTCAGTGATATTGATACAGTCAGTACAGAGGATGGCTGTTGGGTTGTTCTCATCTGTCACATTGTAGATGAGGACAGAGTACCAGATATCAGGATCAACACCAGTCACATCCAGAGAGAATGGAGCACTCCACGAGATGGTCACTGAGCCGGCATTGCTAGTGGCTCTCAAATCACCTACTGCTGACAGTGGACCTGAAATAAATGGCTAACAATTTCCTGACTTATAATACACATTTCAGCTAAAACCTTGAATGGTCAATGTGACAGTGTCACTCTCCACAAAGGGGCCACGAAATATCACTGAAGCACACTGAACTCTAGTTCCATTGTACTGGGCTCTGGCTGGAATGGTCAGATTCTGCATTGTAGTACCTTCTGGAGTAGTAATCTCTTCTGAGAGAACCAGGTCACCACGTATGTCAGGCAGAAAAGTTGCTCGTTGTGTTCCATTGACTAGCCACAAAGTGTCGCCACCTCTAGCCTCACATGTAAAAACTGCGTGTTTGTTTAGAAAGACAGTTGTACTCTCGGGAGCATGGAGAATCTCTGGTGTAGAGAGAAATTACAGGGAGATGTGTGGGTGTCAGGAGTGAATGAGTGCAGCTCGAGCTAACCTTGAGCAACGAGGGGAATAGAAGAACTGATGAGCAACACTGCGACAGCACTTAGTGACGACTCATCGCTCGCGGCCTCCGGCCTCGCCCAGAGAAGATGGATCTACGCATGCGCACCTCCTCCACCGGTCGTCAGAGCGCGGACCGGATCGATATAGAACAAGCCGGAAACAAGTCGAAAAACGAACCGCAACACCACGATATTAATTATTCAGAATTAACTATTCTTCTATTAAGGTTTACGGAGCTTGAGAAGGGTGTACTGCTGTGCTTCAAAACGCATGGTTACCTCAGTCTTAGAAATGTACAAGTCATCATTTTCTTATATACAACAGAGATATGCAATTCATGATAGAACACGGCAACAGAGTCAGGCAGAGTGGTGCAGGCAAGAGGAGAGAGCAGAGAGACAATGAGGAGAGAAAGAGATGAACGTGAACTATGGTTACTAAAACAAATCTCTACAAAGTTACAATAATAATGAGAAACAGAAACCCGTTTCATTATAGGCAAGGTCAGAGTGCAAAAGTGCAGAGTGCATTGCTATGGAGGGCTGCATGGTTACAGACACAAAGATGGACAGACAGACAGAGAGAGAGAGCAGACGAAGGGAGAGAGAGACGACTAGAGCTAGTGCTGAGTGGTTGACGAGGAAGCCTGTTCAGTGTCCAATGAGGAGGAAGTGGGTGTGGCTTTGCTGACAGACTCCGCCCCCTTTTGTATGTGGGAGGGCAGTAGGACTGACTGTAGAGACGGTCGGATTGCCAGCTCTGTGAGGAGAGAGACAGAGGGCTAATAGCTAGCTGTAAATCTCAGCATGTGATTTTCGGAAAATGTTAGAGCCTGATTCGGTGTAGTAAGGCACGGATCCTTTTAAGGGCTGAGACAGTTAAACCCTCTTTTATTAACTACATACCTACTCAATAGCATGCATACAACATAGTGATTGTACCTTGCAGGGTGATGCGTACCTTGCTGGGTGAAGTCAAAGAGAGGAGGGAGAGATCGTCCTGATGGGAGGGTCTTCCCCGGCTCTCGCAGCTCGTCAAAGAAGCCATGTGCGCAGGCCTCCATGGGGTTGGCCCTCAGACCTGGCGTGTACTCCAGCAGTTTGCTCACCAGCTCTATGGCCTCTGGAGAGGTCCGTGGTCGGAACACCTGGAGAGAGAGAGAGAGAGAGATGTTGTACCAAATACAACTTGAAGCTCTAAGATGGTGCTTGTTTTCGAGACTCAACAATGTTGGGTTGTTCTACAATCTTTCCGTGTCATATTCAACAAAGCTTGTGCTTGGTGTTTGCTACTGGAGGTATCGTAGAGTGTGTGTCAGCTGGAAGGTGAGGGTGGAGTCACGGGGCCAGACTCCGCCCTCTTAAGAGCCAGCTGATTGATGTTTGTTGCCAGTCAAGGAGAGGTTCAAAGGTCACTCCATCTCCACCGTGGGCAACAGACTGGGCCAAAAGACCACACCTAGTCGTTTGAATGCAGGTTTATTCATTGGTATGTGACCCACACTGCACACATCGTAATGTACGTGATTCTAAATAAGCGAAAAAATTTCGAAATGTCCGTGTTTGCTAGCCATTGAGTGTTTGTGCAGGGTCACATATTATGTTGACTACCTTATTCCAGGGGTGGGCCTTGATCTGAGGGAACTTGAACTCAGTGTAGTTGGAGTTCATCTGTCGTATCTGCTCCTTGGTGGGCGTCCCGAGGACCTTGATAATCTCCACCAGCTGGTCGACTCCGCTGTCACCTGGGAAGATGGGCTGGCCCAGTAGCAGCTCTGCAAACACACACCCAGCACTCCAGATATCTGGAGAGGGAGAGAGAGAGGAGGGTGAGAGAGAGGGGGGAGAGAGGTAAAACTAGTGTTGACGACAGACACATACAGTGGCACACCGAGGGATAAGAATATCAACATATTTCGTGTAGTCGTAAATGAAGTAAAAACCCACACAGCATAACTAAACCTTGCACAGCCCAGAGTGTGCAGTCAGACAGAACACAAGTTGTTTGTCCATCACTGGGAAATTAAGTCGTTTGTCGAAGAGTTGAAAATGCCCCAGTACCTGAGGTGAGGCCATTCTACATCACAGGATATTGTTGGCAGCACTTGAATTTGGCAATATCACCACGAAAACAGGACACGTAAAACATTGCCACCAGATTTCCAGTCTATTACACTGTATCTCATGTCCCAGATGTGTGTGTGTGTGTGTGTGTGTGTCTCTCTCTCTCACACACACACACACACACGCACACACACACACAATCCTCAGTAGAGTCGTGGAGGGTCACATTATTATTTCACACTGACTTGTACTGATATGGTGAGACTGGTGCCACCAAATATCCTGCTGATGACAGGGGCTACCCGATGTGCACAGTGAAACAGATCTCCCACCTCCTCGGTTGACAGGTCCTGGAACCTCTCCACTGGTCTTCTAGTGGCCACCAGCACATTTGTGGACCATAGTTAGGGTGTGCTAGGCACATGGTATAACTCACAGCTAATGTACTACTGTGCTAGCTACCATACATGAGGCTGCTAGCTAGCTTCATAAAGGAAGGATACGTCCAGGGAGGATGGGTTTGCGGTTGGTGAAGGCAAAAGAGAGAGGGGTGAGGAGGAAAACCTGTGCTCTTGGTATGACGTGAGACCCAAACTGCAACACTCCACGCAGCGCCTGCTCCGCTGCCATCCTACCCAGCACACCTGAGGTGTGAACGTGCAGCGACCAACTTGGGGGGCGTGTCACCAGCTGGGCGGGTGTGTGGGTGTGTAGTGGTTTGTTGACAGCCCTGTCAGCGAGCTTGGCCTCTTTCAAGATGCAGGAATCGGAGGAGCCACATGAAAAAATAAACCTGTTGCTGGACAGTACGTGCATATATAGCTAACTAGCTAAATCCGCATATGCAGCCTTTTTTCTCTGAGAGTGTACTGCTTTTAACTTGTACCTAGATTTTGTTCCATGTCCTAACAGGAGCACCAGATGGAGGGTTGGACAGAGTAATAAGTGACAGAGACCTGGCAGTAATAGCCAGAGACCATGTCACTCACTGGGGAAGCCTGGCGCCTTTCCTGGGACTAACTAGAGCCCAGGAACAGGAGATAGCTATGTCCTACCCGGGAGACTATGGGAAACAGAAACGAGAGTGTCTGTATGTGTGGAAGGAGATGGAGGGAGAAAGGGCCACGTACCGAGCCTTCATTTCAGCAGCTGAGGAGGCAGGAAACCAGCAGTTGGCACATACTGTGAGGGACCTCTTTAGTCATACCACAGGAACAGTCGAAAGAGACTCAGATATTGTCATGGATGAAGGTGAGCTTCCATTGAAAAAACTGTAGCTAGTATACAACATGGTGTTTTCAGAACTGGAGACACTGCCAGTTCCTCCAACAGACACACGGACGCTCCCTGTGGGCACTAACGGTACATACACTATGGAACCTTTAATCCTTTAACATGTTCGTTCTTTCTCTCCCTTTAGCTAACCCCTCCCCTTCCATCGCAACAATGCAGGAGCAGTCAAATGGAGGTATTGCTCTGGATACTAGCAGATTTAGGTCACAGTTGTCCCTTTCTGCAGATTCTATGAGTCAAAGCAGTGCCAGTTCAACAAGAAATGCTCCAGTAGTGACACAGACTTTAGGTATGTAGTGCTGCACATACCCAGCGCTTCACTTCACTTGGTCTATATACAGGAATTGACGACTTGTTTGATGTTAAGAGTGCGTGTGAACCAGTGACTGCCAGGTGGAAATCTCTTGGACTGGCTCTCAGACTGAGTCCTACTCGACTGGGTGTGATAGAGAAAGAGAACAGAAGTCTTGACGAGTGTCTAAGTGAGACCCTGACTCTGTGGCTGAATAAAAACTACGACACTGTGAAATTTGGAAACCCAACATGGGAGCTTCTGGCAAAAGCAGTTAGTCATCCTGCTGGAGGAAATAACCCTGCACTTTCCGAGGAGATAATTGGGAATCATGGAGGTACTGATAGAGGCAAACTAGTATGATCACTTATTCCTATTAATTTGCAGGCCAATAGTATGTGATGTCTTCCGTCTTCTATACATGTAAGCACTGGCACGGATTGCTTTCTTCACCGGATTAGTGTAGTGTTATGGACATCTAGAATAAGTAGTCTCTTGTGTTTGATGAATAATGACACACTGAAATATTGAAACCTTTTGTCAGACTCTATATTCTGTATTTGTGGTGCCTATATACACGGTAATAGAAACTAATATTTCAGGTGGACTGAATTTTATGAGTTTCATAAGCCACATTATGAGCAGTGTTGATGGGAGTTGTGGTCTCATAGGCCACATTGCCAGTAGTGGGGATGGTAGTAGTGTGAGACGGCTCAGTTGGAATGGAGGAGGTGGTGGTCAGGGGAAGAACTACCTCATCATACACTGCCACTGGTGCTGGAGGAGAGTTCACATAACACACAGTCACACACCACACCCATCCCTATATACCAGCAGATCGCTTCTTCCTGTGTGTGTGGCACTGTCTGACTACCACCAGTAGCACCAACACTGCTGTGACACATATCATAACACCTGCTAGTGCCGTACCTATGAGAGAAAGACAGTAACTCTGGGAAAATAATACACCACCTACCTATGGATATGGCAACAACTTGTGTATCCATTATCCTTTCCTCATCTGCAAAATACAATGTTCGTTAACCAAAACTTGCCCTAGTAAATGCTATTGTGCACATAGGTGCAAAACATACCTGAAGTGGCTACTTCAGTCTGTGGTGTTGTGGTTGTCCTAGTGACGTGTACATTTCTTGCTAGAATCGGTCTTTCATCTAAATCAAAACTGCTCTTTCCAAAGACTGCGAATGTGTATTGATCTCCATCAACAGTCAGAGTCACAGGGAAGACAGTGTTCTGAGGATATTCCTCCACCACTAGTGTCTTGTTACCATACTCTCGATAGACCAGGACACATGAGGCTCCCTCTATACCTTCTTTGAACTCACACCTTATCTGAAGCACCGAGTCTTTGACGACCAGGCTCACATTATTCAAAACTTTAGATGCTACATTTGAGTCTGTGTCTGTAAGATAATGTAGTAGTTTATAAATTTTTCAATTGGCAATAGACTCACCGTTCCCATTAGCAGTAATGACATTGTTTGGTTGATATGCTGGGCTCCTATTAGGGAGTCCATCTTGCTCCAGGTCATAGAAAAAGGCTCTGTATGTTGTTGTTCTCATCTGTCACATTGTAGATGAGGACAGAGTACCAGATATCAGGATTACCACCAGTCACATCCAGAGAGAATGGAGCACTCCATGAGATGATCACTGTGCCAGCATTGCTAGTGGCTCTCAAATCACCCACTGCTGACAGTGGACCTGAAATGTTGTTCTTGTTAATGATCATCAACAAGCAAACTGAAAATACCTTGAATTTTCAATGTTGCATTCTCACTCTGGACTGAGCCACTTAATCTGAATACCACACATTGAAATCTAGTTCCATTGTAGTGGGCTTTGGCCAGGATGGTCAGAGTCTCCACTGTCATTCCCTCACTAGTGTTGGTGTCTGTGGAGATATCATCACGTATCTCAGGTGAGCTTTGTTCCAATTCTTCCAGGAGTATTCCATCAATCAACCAAGAAGGGAGTTCCACCTCTTGTCTCACATGAAAATACTGCCGACAGGTGTAGAAATACCGTCTTGTTCTCAGGATCTTGGATTATTTCTAGGGTGTGCAGACAGCTAGCTTTCGTGTGGGTGTCAGGAGTGAATGGGTGCGGCTCCCGCTTACCTTGAGCAACGAATGGAACAGAGAAACTGATGAGCAACACTGCTACAGCACTTAGTGACGAAACTCATCGCTCAGCTCTCGCGACGATCGACGATCTACGCATGCGCACCTCCCCCCGCCCCCAAACTCTAACACTCGATCGCGATCGCGCGCCACAAGTCGAAAACGAACCGGCAATGGATGGTATTTGCAGGGTAGTGTTATAAACCTCTAAAATAAAAAAGTAGCTCTTGTGTTTAATGAATAATGACACACTAAAATATAGAAAATTTTTGTCCAAGACTCTATATTCTGTATTGGTGTATACACAAAAATATATAGAAACCAATATTTCAGGTGGACTGAATTTTATGAGTTTCATAAGCCACATTATGAGTAGTGTTGATGGGAGTTGTGGTCTCATAGGCCACATTGCCAGTAGTGGGGATGGTAGTAGTGTGAGACGGCTCAGTCGGAATGGAGGTGGTGGTGGTCAGGGGAAGAACTACCTCATCATACACTGCCACTGGTACTGGAGGAGAGTTCACACGACACACAGTCACACACCACACCCACCCCCATATTGTACCTGCAGATTGCTTCTTCCTGTGGGTGTGGCACTGTCTGACTACCACCAGTAGCACCAACACTGCTGTGAGACATATCATAACACCTGCTAGTGCTGTACCTGTGTGTGTGTGTATTGAGAGAGAACGAGAGAGAGAGAGAGAGAGAGAGAGAGAGAGAGAGAGTGAGTGGCTGTAGAAAAATAATACACCACCTACCTATAGATATGGCAACAACTTGCGTCTCCATTGTCCCTTCCTCATCTGCAGTTCAATCAATGGACATTTACCAAAACTTTCCCTAAACTGTGTAAACATTGCTTGTCTAAAAAGTGGCACTGCAAAACATACCTGAAGCGGCTACTTCAGTGGCTACTTCAGTCTGTGGTGTTGTGGTTGTCCTAGTTACTTGTACATTTCTTGTTACAATTGGTCTTTCTTTAAATCAAAACCGCTCTTACCAAAGACTGTGAATGTGTATTGATCCAGGATTGTAAAAAAATGTTGTGCAGTTGAGTAGGTGCTAAACCTTCTAAAATACACTTTGTTACACATATTATTAGTTTACCATTACCAGTTGATGGTGGCTGTGGTTGTGAAGGATCTTCTTTCCCCTGTACAAACATGCTTAAAAATGGCCTTTCATCAGTATCCTTGTCCAGCCTTCTGAACAGTGCAAATGTGTAGTTCACGTCAGGATCAAGATTGACAGTAACAGGAAAAGTTTCTTTCCAGTTCAACATATAGTTGCCATATGCTCTGAAGACCAGAACACACGATGCACTCTGTTCATCAGGAGTACAGGTCACTTCCAACATTGAGCCGTTCCGGGAGATGCTGACATTCTTCAGGTTCTCACCATTAGGAGCTTGGTCTTTTAAAATGCAAACAAACAATGCTTAAACAACACTTTTATACCCACAAGAACTTACATTTTCTTCACCATGCATAATCTCAACACTAGAAGGGACAAGGTTAGCTGGATGTTTGTTGGGAAGCCCATCCTTCTCCAGATCATGTACATAAACAGTGTAATTTGATGCAGGCATTGAGTTATCCCCAGAGAGTCTCAGATTTTCTCCATTACGTTTCAAAGCAATAAAGGTAATCTCAGTAGTGAAATTGCACTGAATGGCTACAAAGCATCCTTTTGCAGGTGAGTTACCAATGAGCTCTCCCATACCACAATCTTTTTACCATCATTACTCGGCTCTGCATGGGGCTCTGAAACATCATAGGTTGCTGCAAAAGTGCACGAATGCAGTGAAAATGTGCTGAGTGTGCTGTAAGGATTAGTGGGTGTTGACATAATGTATAATACATCAGTTATCAAGCAGGACCACAGACATACACTTTGGAGATGTATTTGGGAGTAAAGAGGATCATCTTAAAATTTATTGTATTTAAGCCCTCTGTCCACTGTATACATACACATCATGCTACATCTTACTGAAGTTTTTGGTCTTTCCAGTTCCACAGGCCATCAGATCTTCAATGGTAGCTTTGTACTCTCCATCAGCAGGTAGAGTGAAAACAGTTCCATTTGTATCATTGTTGGCATAAAAACGAACCGTATCTTTATAAAGAGATACAGTGTGCACTTGCTCCTAGGGTAAATTACAAATGGCACTAGATAAACTAATGAGGAGAAGACAGGTAGACCGTTCCTAAACACAACAATACAGAGAACACTTGAAGTGCATAAGAACACCATTCTAGAGAAATGTAACTTACATCTCTGAATTCAACTTCACAATAACGATCATCATTCAGGCTGCAACTTCTACTTCAGGAAATTTGTTTCTGTGGAAAAAATAAACAGAGAACAAAAGAACCAAAAAAATGAAAATGTCCACTTGCAATTAGGCTTCTCATAACAAAGTGTAAACAAACCATCAGTAATGTTGGGGACTCCTCTCTCCCTGGCCAGCTCCATTGAGAGGGATGACGAGAAGTTGTACACATGACAAGGACTGAGGTGGTCAGGAGTGAAGGTGTAGTGTGTCTCAGTGATATTGATACAGTCAGTACAGAGGATGGCTGTTGGGTTTGTTCTCATCTGTCACATTGTAGATGAGGACAGAGTACCAGATATCAGGATCAACACCAGTCACATCCAGAGAGAATGGAGCACTCCACGAGCGTGGTCACTTGTGACAGCATCCAGGGAAGTATTAGTGATGTCGATGGTGATGTTGCGACTCTCCAGTCGAGCTGTGAACAGTGGTGTGACAGCCATCCAGGGAAGTATTAGTGATGTCGATGGTGATGTTGCGACTCTCCAGTCGAGCGTGAGACAGTGGTGTGACAGCCATCCAGGGAAGTATTAGTGATGTCGATGGTGATGTTGCAGCTCTCCAGAACAGTGTGACTGCCGTCCAGGGAAGTATTAGTAATGTGGATGGGGATGTTGCGAATGGTGTGACTGCCATCCTGGCAAGTATAAGTGATGTCGATGGTGATGTTGCAAATGGTGTGAATAACATCCTAGGAAGTGTTAGTAACGTTGATAGTGCTGTTGGAAGTGGTGTGACAGCCATCCTTGCCAGTATTAGTGATGTTGATGGTGATGTTGCCAATTTCCAGTCGAGCGTGAGTAGCAGTTTGACTGCCATCCAGGGAAGTATTAGTGATGTCGATGGTGATGTTGCGACTCTCCAGAACAGTGCTACTGCCATCCAGGGAAGTATTAGTGATGTTGATGGTGATGTTGTGACTCTCCAGTCGAGCTTGAATAGTGGTGTGACAGCCATCCAGGGAAGTATTAGTGATGTTGATGGTGATGTTGCGACTCTCCAGTCGAGCGTGAATCAGTGGTGTGACAGCCATCCAGGGAAGTATTAGTGATGTCGATGGTGATGTTGCGACTCTCCAGTCGAGCTTGAACAGTGGTGTGACAGCCATCCAGGGAAGTATTAGTGATGTCGATGGTGATGTTGCAGCTCTCCAGAACAGTGTGACTGCCGTCCAGGGAAGTATTAGTAATGTGGATGGGGATGTTGCGAATGGTGTGACTGCCATCCTGGCAAGTATAAGTGATGTCGATGGTGATGTTGCAAATGAGTGTGATACATCTAGGAAGTGTTAGTATGTATGATGTTGTGACTCTGTTGAAGTGGTGTGACAGCCATCCTTGGGAAGTATTAGTGATGTTGATGGTGATGTTGCCACTCTCCAGTCGAGCTGTGAGTAGAGTTGTGACTGCCATCCAGGGAAGTATTAATGATATCGATGGTGATGTGTGACTCTCCAGAACAGTGTACTGCCATCCAGGAAGTATTAGTGACGTTGATGGTGATGTTGGCTCTCCAGAAACAGTTTGACTGCCGTCCAGGGAAGTATTAGTGACGTGGATGGTGATGTTGGAATGGTGTGACTGCCATCCTGGCATGATAAGTGATTCGATGGTGATGTTGACAAATGGGTAGTAACATCTAGAAGTGTTCAATGTTGTAGTGCTGTTGGAAATGGTGTGACAGTCATCCTTGCCAGTATTAATGATGTCGATGGTGATGTTGCGACTCTCCAGTCGAGCGTGAGTAGCGGTTTTACTGCCGTCCAGGGAAGTATTAATGATCTCGATGTTGATGTTGCCAATCTCCAGACGAGCGTGGACAATTTGTAGTATGTGCTATGCAGCCCATTTTATACTTTGTGTATTATCTTTTAACTCCTGCGTTGGTGCTCTGTACAAAGGGACGAGGGAATACTCACTATCTACAATCTTTCCGTCGCATTGACAATAATGTTAATAGTTATGTTAGTTAAAAGGTTTGAAGATGGCCATTGGTATGATTGCCCAGATAATGCCAATTTAATATTATATATATAATTGCACTTGTTCCGCATGACTAAAAGAAGTATGGTTTAAAGTGAAGCCCATTGGGACAATGCTCACTTCAAAACGAGTCTCTTGCTTTAATATCTGAGTATGCAGTCAGCACAGCCCCAATGGCTCCCTTCCACATTGTGCTACTTCCAAATTGTGTAATTTTATATACCACTTCCACCCTTGGCATGGCCTAACCACGTGCCCGGTGCCCCACAATCAAGAGGGGAAAAGGGTGTATGTTTCAGCAGACTTGTGATCATTACATAACCACATGTAAGAGAGTTATTATAATTATTATTATTGTGACTTTGGATCTAAGTCTTATTTATAACGTGATAAAATGGAAGGACGTGTTGCGCATACACCATACTATCAGCATTAGGGGCATGTGCTGGTATGCGCATCATGCCTAGACAGGTATCACGTGCTATAATTATATTTTGTCGGTTTTTGAGTCAACACAGGATAGATGGTTGTGTTCTCGTTGTGGCATCAAGGTGGACACTGTGACTTGCCAAGTCCGTTTTAAGTCACTGCCCTGGATATTAATGAAGCCCTTTGGTCTATAAGCGAACTCAAACTGCAAATTCATGCCTAGAGTTAGCTGTAGCATGCCATCACCTGCTAATTAACCTTCGGCGCGCATGCGCAGCGAGGGTTACGGTGTGTGTGTGTGTCCGCACTATACTACAGGCTACGAGGCGGCCTAAGAGCGATACCAAACGCTTCAGTGCTACAAGCGCTTGAAAACTAAAATGGCGATTTTTCTGAAACGTCAGCGTTCGAGCGCGAGAAACTGCCACTGTCGCGGACCGGGTTGCGTGGCCCAACCTTCAATAAGCGGTGCGCATGTAAACTGGCTCACCTCGACCTGATCGGCTTGCTCTGTGTACCAGCACAAGAAGCCACAGCGAAGGGTGTGTATCGACTCCCGCATGCCATCTACTACTGTAGCTAGCCAGTGTCAGACTCTCCGCAAGCTGGAGACCGCGAGCCCACCCCCCGGCCCCAGCCATTAGCGGTACCGCGCATGCGCAGTTCGCCGAGGGTTTGCACTTTAGTGAAAAACAGCATTACTTGTTAGGAAAATGTGTTTAGGCCGGAGGGAGGGCTTCATTGCTGGGCTTATGTAGTGAAGGAATGAGACAGGATCAAGTACTATATATAGGAATATAGATAAGAGTAGGAAAACTAGTTCCAGTATTTAAAGTTAAATTTAAGGAGCAATGTAAACTTCAATCTGTTCAACGAGAATATCATCTCCTTGGCCTCCTTCACTAACTGGACCGTCGCTAAGGAGACAGATTCTGGCATTAATCCCTGTTTCAGTTATAGTTTTTCCAAGGTTATTGATGAAGTATGGAGGTCGATTGAATTCACAACAACTGCTTGCCGGATTGCAGTTCCACCCATCCCACAGAGGATCGTTGCCTAAAAAGAAAGTTGTACCAATTTGGAATTCATTAGTTCCAGCTTCGCAAAAGTACTTATTGCCAACAAAGTCAGGGACTGAGATGTCGGCTGGATTTGCTCTGTCACACGGACATTCCTCGATTCTTTGTTCTCCAAGCTCGTGTATCCCAGCTGCAAATGTCCACAGATGCTCTGAGAAGTCAGCGCCAGAAGTGAGACTGACACCAGTTACATAGGGCTGATTAATCTGTGTCTGTCCATGTACAATAAAGCTCTCAAAGCCATCAACTCCTCCATAGGCATAGGCCTTCACACGTCCACAAACTTTGCTAAAGCTCATTGCTGTGGGAAATGAATTGTAGCAGCTGAATCCAACATTGTCTGTTCGACCACAGGTACGCAAATCAAACATTTTATTTTCTGCCCAGCCACCAGGACAATTCATTGCTGGATCAGTCATATCAAAATTGATCACTTGGACCCAATCTTCTGTGTTTCCACATGGATGTACAAGAGCTTCGCTAGTTGTCTCAAGATCACTCAACTGACCAGTTGTGTCTGCTTTAAACGATGAAAGACATGTGGCAGGATCACCAACCTCTGTGTCTATGGTAGTAACACTTGTCTGGAGATTCGTTATACCAGTGTCGAGATTGTTTGGACTGCCATGATATTAGTGTCAAGACCACTCACACTTGTCTGGGTGGCATTTACACAGTCTTTTGCAGTAGAAACATCACTGTCGACGTCAGCAATGTCGCCCTGGATTGCCACTACACCGCTGTCTATGCTCATCTGAAGAGCTGCCACATCCATATCCATGTCAGAATATGCAATCCTTCAGGTTATCTACACTTGTCTGGAGCACTTCCGATTTTTCTGCTTTCTCGGCCAGTTTTCTCAGGATCTTTGTAAGGACATATTTTTGCCGGTTTGATTCAGTGTGAATTTCTGTGGTTGTTTGCTGGAGAAATGCAAGACCAAATTTTAAAGCCCCGAGGTCATCTTTCATTTCATTCAGGTCTTGCTGTTGCTTGTTAGACTCAGAAAGAATTATTTTTAGGGAGTTCTGCATGTCATGAAGCACATCTTGAACTGCAATAGAATATTGGGGTGGTAATATAAGTAATCTGCATATAAAGAACTTCAACCATCTCTTATACAGGAGCAATGTTGTTAGGAAATTGAATTTACAAAATCATGGGTGATAATGTGGAGTTTGTTGCTTTTCAAACTTTGAGCTACCAAACTCTTCTCATAGCTATACTTGTCTGAATCCGATCTTTACCTGACTGAGGGCAAATCCAGGTATCAGCTTTGTCTGGAGCAGCCAGAGCTATTGTTGTGGTCGCAGTTAGACACAAGGACAAAAAATTCAGCAAGAAGCATTGCTGCATGGTCGCACGTTTCTGAAATTGTCAATACCTACAACATAACAATGAAAAGTGCTGAGGCATTGACAGCCTTTTGATTAATACATAGTTGCCTATCATCGAGTTTTGTGATCTTCTCTCACCATACAAAAACAAAACTACCTGCTGTTCCATGCAATGGTGTCTGTTAGCCAGGTAAAACACAACATGGAACAAACAAAAACCACTGTTCTGATGGGTAAAGCCCACATACTAAAAGTAGCATGCGTAATGGTATTGGCAGCCACTCTCTACATGTAGGTAAACATGCACTTAGAGAACAGTAATCTAACCAAGTTACATTGCTATACATTATGTACACATGATTTACACAGGTCTCACCTTTATTGT